CACCACCCACCCTAAATAGAAATATTATTAAGAGTACTTTCTTTTCATGTTGTAAATAGAGTACTTTTTTTTATTTCAACAAAATGAGTATATTCTTTTCATTATGTATAAAAAGTATTTCTTTCATTTCAACAAAACGAGTATTTTTTTTCGTTATGTCGAAAAAGTATTTTCTTTCATTTTAACAAATTAAGTATTTAACAAAACGAGTACTTTCTTTTCATGATGTACAAAAAATATTTTCTTTTATAGTATTTTCTTTTCATGAAGTAGAAAAAGTATTTTCTTTCATTTCATCAAACTGGGTATTTTCTTTTCATTATGTACAAAAACTATTTTCTTTCGTTCAACAAAATAAGTAATTTCTTTTCATGTTGTAGAAAGGGATATTTTCCTTTTCAACAAAAAAAAAAGTATTTTTTTTAGTTATCGAACTCAAATTTCAACGTTATTCGTGTGTAAAAAAATAAACTAACACATTAGTTCCTTTGGATTTGTGTGAATTTTGAAAAGAATAATTAATATTTTAAAAATGAGAATTTTGGGGAAGGTAAATTAAGGAGAGTAGCATAAAAAATTATTTTTCTAAAAATAGTTTATACTCTAACCAAACACTAAAAAAATAATTTTACTCCCCAACCAAACAAGGAAAAATAAGTGATAAAATCACTCATTTTTCATAAAAATATTTTCCATATAAAACATTTTCCTTTGTACCAAACACGCCCAAAGCCGGTTGTTCCAATTCTATGTTGGGAGTACCAACCCGATACTGACAAATTCATTATGGTAACAAACATCATGGTAAGTCCCCTTCCCTCTCTTATCAAGGCCATCTCAAACGCTGTACGATTTTGATAAGTTTGCTAGCATGGCCAATATGATGAAACTGTTTTGTTCCTGTTCGGATAAGACAGACGAACAACTGTACATCCAGAAGAAATTTCTACGGAACCTAATGGTAAAGGACTTACCAATGTCATCTTTCTTTAAAAAACCGAAACGACAAGGACAATTTGTTGACTCTCCCCTTTCTTTCCTTGCCCCATTAAGCAAAAGGACATTGATGTCCACCGCACCTACTAGCGCATTTGCCAACGAAATTGCAGGCTAACAGTCACGTCAAAGGTTGAGTTATTTTCAACAAGAATGTAAACAACCTCAGTGCAGATTAGCTGTAACAAATACATACACAGTCCACTGCAAGCCCAAGAGCAGTCGCTTGTATTTCTTTGATCATCTTGTTTCCTTTGTCGTATAAGTAGAATGCCAACTAAAATGGGAGCCAAAAATATTACAATAGTCCTGGACACTTGCGCTTGGAAAATAATTATTCCACTAGATCATCTTAAAGATAAAATGAAAATTCAGCAGCGATTATAAATAGATCAGATGATAAGTACAAATATACGGATAAGAACTTGTATCACAGCCTCACAGAAAACAAAAATCAAGAGAGAAATGTGAAATATTACATGCTGGGGAAGAGGAAGACCGTTAAAGAATAACTAATGCAACCTTGTCAACTCTTCCACTCTCTTCATTAGTTCCTCAACAGGAACTGCCATTGCTTTAGAAATATCTTCCATCCGGCTCCTGCTAAGATCTAGGAATGATTCAATCAAATCTCCGTCAAGAAAGTTTTTAGCTTCTACAGTTTTCTTCTCATTGTAAAACGACCTCCACTGCTCATGGCTCAGTCCGCCTACACCCTTTATCACTTTCCTTAAGTTTGTCTGCAGCTTTTCCAAAAATAAATACTGATCATGAGGAAGCGAGGCAATGACCCCAATAACACCATTCACTGTGCCAAATATGACGGTAGGTATCTGGCCAACATCTGAATCTGGCAATCGCATGACAAGTGAACCGTGTCTGAACCTATTAACAAATTCACCAAGGTGGTATTCACCAACCACTTCAAGACGGCTGCGCTCTTCATCTGTAGCACCCTCACTATTTTTCCTGACAGTGAAAAGGTTAAAGTTGTTCTCCGAACCAAGATAAATGTCATCGTCGAGAATCTCGACAGCTGACATCCAATTTGCATTATAGTCCCGGGCTCGCTCCTCTATAGCACCCTCCTCGTGCTAAATAGGAACAATATTGTGAATGTCAGCAATGACTTCTTATTGAAGTAAAGACAAATTAGGTTAAGCATAAGAAACTGGTAATTGAGAGTACAATTGTAGCTTTACTTTCTAAAGCATTAGAATATTATATTTACTTACAAAAGTTACCTTGAAAATCAGTAGAGAAATGGACTTCATCAAATCACCGACGACAATAAAATCCCCACGTGTTTGAACATAAAGAGCCAATATATGACCATGGTGTCCACATTCTGTCTGCAATTCTCGGCTGCCACCATCTTCACGCGAGGCCCACTTGTACAATTGAATCTTCTGATTGATTGCAGCAAGCAGTTTCCCATTGAAGGCATTTAGAGAGTAGACAGCTCCCTTAGTTTCCTTCTCTGCAATTAGTTGGAGCTTTCCATCTTCAACAATAAAAACTAAAATTCGGCCCTGCAATTACTCATCATTTAAGTACCTTAAATAACCATAAAAATGAACATCAGTGAATTAAACTAGCCCAGAAAAAAGTTGACTTCATTACATTGAAGGAATAGAGTAACAAGCTTATTAGTTTTGACTTGAAACAAAATTATATCAAACAAAACAGCCTCAAGGTGTAAAAATTGCTTCCAACCACGATTTCCTCCTCCAATAAAAGATTAGTTTGCTTAAATCTAGCTACTGATGATATAAACTCATCTCCTTTCCNCATTTCAGTTAAGCAAGGAATATAAGAATCTAGTTGAAACTTCAAAACAGTTGAAAGAAAAGATCATCAAGATCGCAATTTGCCTTATAACCACGTAGGCACATCACCAGTCTCAACAAAGAAAAAGAGCCAGAAAAAGCGGGTATGGTGATGGAAAGATGATAAAGTTCGGTATGGTATCAGATGAATTTGAGGAAAACAATATGGCTCGAAACCCAAAATCTACGCAAATCGATAGTTCATCAGAAATCACAGGATCTAAGCAAACCTTACAATTAGAGAAACTTTTATCAATGAAACTTACCTTGGTAGGTTCATTTTCCTCTGGCATCACATAAGCAGTGCCAACGCAATAATACACATTACTGTCATCAGAAAAGGAGCAGCTAAGTATGGAACAACCATATTCAAATTGGTCAAGGGGGTAAGTTGATATGAACTCAAATGTCTGATCATCTAACAGGCGGACAAAATGCACTTCAGGATCATCTGCATTCGACTGAGTATACTTGACGCTGCATAGAGCAAATGTCCTGGTCTGCTCTTGATGGCTGATCCGCCGTGCATGCTCCCCGAGGGGTATTGAACGGATGTGAAGCTTTTGAATTTCATCAATAGTGCCAATTGTTAACTCTCCTTCTTTTGCAATTGCGAGGCTGTTGACAAAAGAGAAATAACTATTAAAGCTCTTATGCATAGAAAATATAGGGGACAATTAATAAAAGATACAGAAACTTACAACAACAATTTATGATTTTCTAACATTCTTTGACTGTGACAGAAATGGAAGATCTAGCAAATATCAACTCTAACATTAGCTTGTAATGATATATAGAAGACATTTTAATTCTTTAACATGTTGACCCCAGTAATAGGTGTCTGAGGGCTGAGCTAGCAATTCATTCTCAAAATGTAATTAAACACTTTAATCAATAGACAGCGATAGAAATTTCCAACAGAGTACCACATTCAATTTTTAAGTCAGCAGACAAAATGTTGGCAGTAAAATTGAAGAAAAAGAAGGAACAAATTACCTGTCTGGAAAAGCTGCAACATTGAATGGGCACATATGACTAACTTCTTTAAGATTTACATTGCTATAAAGCAGCTTCTTGTTACTGCTGTAAATAACTGTGGGCCTATCAGAGGCAGCAAAGACGTGTGTAGCATCTTTAGATGAGAATGTACGAAGTGTTATGGGCTGGGTTCCAAGAGACACTTTTTTCCTGTCTGTCAGCTCACCAGTACTCATGCTCAATACATAGTTCAAGAGATGACCATCTCCCAAAGCACATAGTAGATAAGATATCTGAAAGAGAGTTTTAGACCCCCAAAAAAGGAAAGAAACAGAGGTAAGAGAACATATTGGAGGAGGGCAGCATAAAAAATTTCATGGCTATTGCCTGATCCATTCAAAACCCTATGCCAGTATCAGTCAATCAAATCTGCTGGTGTATACTTTCTCTCACTCTTGCCATCCAACTACACTAGTCCACTTCATGAAAGATGAATTGTACCCAAATTTGGAAAGAAACATAATCTAGTTTAATGCTTCCAAGGATTCCTACTGTTCATTGATTACAGCAGCTTCAGGTCTTGATTTTATTTCATTTTATTTTCTTGAATAACCATATAGAACAATCATAAATGCTTCAGTATTGATGTTTTATTTTTGGATAAAGTAATAAATTTTATTAAAAGAAGGGCAAAAAGCGCACTCATACAAGAAGTATATCAAAAAATAGAAAACCTTACAAGAAGACATGGTTTTCCACGAAAGACACCTAACCTAATCTTCTACAGACTACAAGTAGGAAGTTCGTGGGTGCACCCCAAAAAGAAATAAGGGAAAAGAGACTATTTCTCAAATGTACGAGATCTTTCTCTACTCCATCAAATGCTCTCTTGTTCCTCTCTCCATACGCTCCACATAAGTGCTAGAGGAGCATGATTCTAGAGCACAATTAACAACCATCCCAACGATAACTCACGTTTGGCTATAAGCCTATAAAGCCTATAGACAGAGCTTTATCAAAGAAATTAAGGAATAAAAAATCTATAACCAGAGACCAGAAGGCACCCCACCTTTAGCCCAGTTGTTTCCCTGGTTTCTGCCCAGGGAAGCCCAAGATATCAAACCCAAAACCCCTGCTTGTCATTCCCGAAAAAGAAAACGGGTAGTTGAGGCATACAAGGCGACTAAAGATAGAGGACATACCCCTTCGAAGGAACACATAAGAACAGAACGAGGAATTATCTCCCCTCCTAGCTGTTCCTTTGTAATGAGATTCAAGTCGGGAAGTGAATATATCCTGACACTTATGTCTGTCCACATTCCAACTGCTGCAATTTGACTATTGTTTGGATTCTCACCAATTGGATTTATGTCCAGGCATGAGATATCATAATCCAACTTGGCATATTTTACTTCATTCANAAAAAAAAAGGGAAAAGAAACTATAGCTTTCAACAGACATCCTAAGGTGTCCGTGGTTGCCACAATTAACCAACACCCTGGTGAATCGTGAAATGGTTCTAAATTGAGCAATCTGAAATATATTCCTTTTATTTTACAATTTATTAACTATTTCTACTTCTAAGTTTAACTAAAGAACAAGCAAAGAAATTCAAATAATTCTACAGTCAAACCTCTCTATAACAGCCTTGTTTGTTCCAGATATTTTTAGATGTTATAGCGAATTGCTGTTATAGAAAACATATATTATAACAAAACATGAAATTTGGTTCTAGAAAAACTTGACTTTTTATAGTGAAGTGTTGTTATATAAGGATGTTGTTCTAGAGAGGTTTGACTGTATTAAGTGATTTTACTATTTAAGTCTTTCAAGTTCTCCATAACTTTGAAAAACTAGTACTCATTTGCTCAAGATTTCTTCAACTATATTATTGAGAGATCTAAAGAAGCCTTTCTCTAGCAAATTATGTTTTATATTGTGAAGGAGATCACAATTCATTCTTGTTCTACAAGCTGAAGTAGTCTATGTATTAGCTAAGATTATGCAGGTCCTAATTCATATTCAATTTTTAAATCCGGAAATTGTGTCACCCATTTGGCTTTATACAATAACTCTTACGCATAGAAAACAACATAGATCAAAAAAATATAAACTCCCTCATTTCCATTTCCAGTTTATGTGAAGCTATTCCTTTTTTAGTCTATTCCTTCTAAATTTGAAAAAAATTTAACGTCAGATTCCCATTTTACCTTAATGAAAAGCCTTTATAGCAACAAAAATATTACCAGATTTAAGATCACAAGTTTCAGAAGCCTTACAACCACAGTCCACACAAACGTTATGGTTATGTTTAAGACCACATGTACCTTATCAAAAAAGAAAGGACCAGTCCCCTTCTATAGTAAGGGAAATTTTGTGAAAAACAACTGAACAACCAGTCCCCTTTACTTGACCAAGCTCTAGATCAAAAGAGAACATGGCGAGTTTACTCATGTAATTAAACTGTTATTATATGGAACTACATATGGATGCTTTTCTATCTTTGTTGAGATGTTACTAACTTGAATCTATTCTTTCATCTTATAATCTATTATATTGATGGAAGATGATACCACCTTGCATTTCTAGGGCAGCTTGAAGGACAGAAACCGATGCTTTGAAGACCAGAACTCGAACTGTTTTTTGCCAAATCGAGATGTCCACAAAGGTTAAATTTGCGTAATGGCTTTTAGAATAATAATGCTAATTCCTTTGTGGACTCAAATATTCTCTACACTATTAGAAGGAATTGAGTCTTTATCTATACATACATATGCACTTTCCTAGTACACAATTTTATTTAGTCTTTTTTTATTGGTAAGAGTAAGAAAATCTTCTTAGTACCGTTTAATGAAAGTTTTCACGTTATTTATCAAAAAGAATCTATGAAACTGATGATTTATGTATTTAGACATTCTTTGTTACTAATGTGTTAACAAAACAAATAAAGCACATTCTTTGTTACTAAAGTAAAAAATTCATATAAAGCACATTTTTCGTATACAGAGGTATATAATTTGTGACTTATCTGCCTAATGTTCAAAATTTCATTGTGTTGTTTCTGTGTTGGTATCCAACTCTGTGATGCTGTTATTTAGCTTGTTATTCCGTGTTTCCTGATTCCTGACAGAGATTCACTTTTAAAGGTGAAACCCATCTTTTGGTCAAACACAGCACAAATTGGAAACAAGACCTTCTAATCCATATTTTCGTCAAACACAGCACACATTGGAAACAAGACCTAGGGTAAAATCAATCACTAGATTGTAACCTAGCGACGATTTTCCGTAAACTGATGTATAAAAATATAGCTATAGATAGGATGGTCACAAATATGAAGGAGAAAAAGAGGTCAAGGAAATTGGGTTTTTTCCAAAGTCAAAAGAAGAAATCAAGTATCATAAACTTAAAAAAGACAGAATACAGTTGCTATTAACTTACGAGCTCCAGTTCAAAATAAGTTCTGCACTTTGTAAAAGTAAATTCTATGAGCACAATAAAAAGATTCAGTGTTATAAAATAATCGAAGTATAGCTTTCCTTTTCTAAGTCAAAAGCAATGATTATTGCAACAAGAACTAATCACGAAAATTAGTAATATCTGGGGAAAATATACTTCATTCAGTTGGTATACAAAAAGATGTCACTGTTTAAAACAAGAACTTGGCACCAACAAAGAAAATGAGAGTAAATGTCCCAAGAAATACGATCTTGAAGCTACATAACCTAAAAAATGCATAATTGTGCATTGGAATCTGTGTCCAATCGCCACAAGCATGTAACAACCAACATCTGTCATTGTCATAGTTATTCGGTCTCTTGTTTTTTCCTGGAAGGGCAGAAAAACTGCACAACCATGATATATAAAAGCTATTCGACATTTGATCTAAAACTAATCATCAACAGGCTGTTGCCTGTCTCAAACTATTATGAAGTCATGGATAAATGCAAGAGGTAAACCTGAGTGGCATTAGCAGTTGCAACATTGACTGAGTAGCCGGCTGGAGCAAACCATTCGTTTTTCAGATCTCTAGAGATAGAGCTGACCAATCTTACAGAGTTAGAAGTAACCTGCATGACAATTTATGCGCAACTTTCCTTGAATACAGATTGTTTAATGTATTCAGCCAGAAATATAAAAGAAGCTTTCCACAGATGGTTAATGACAACGTTATGCCCTAAGCAATCAGTGTTCGATTCGATCATTACTCATTATAGTCTACCAAATTACTGCAGAGAAAGAGGTTATGGAAGATTCTGGTTTCTCAATTTTAACTCTCAATGAAGCCAAATAGGGACATACTAGCAGTAACAAGGCAATAGCAGTAACTGACAATCTCAAATATGACAGCGCAAAGAATAGTATTTGTTCCAACAAAGACTCTCTGTCTCCCCTCATCCAACGAGCACATATTAACAAAACAAGATGCATTACAACTTAAGAAGCATGTAAAAGATGACACATATATGAACTTTGACAGAATTTACGCACACAACTGGCGATTAACCTAACAAAAAAGATGATACTGAAGGAAGATGCTTCTGAAATAACGTTCTCATTTCTAACTTTTGTGATCTTAAGATAATATCAAGCATAGTGGAAACACTTGACAAATCTTCAAGACTACCAGTTACAGTATGCGCATAACAGACCAGAAAGAGTACCAACAAGAACTAGTGGAAACCATTGAAGTCTACACTCTAGAGAAGGAAAGAATTAGTTTCACAATGTAACGACAGACATTTTATATAACCTAGCATCTGTATAGAAAGAAATCATGTTCCTGCAGACGGCTACCTACAATTTATAGATTTTATAATCTATTTCTGAGCATTTCAAACATGAAAAATCACACCAAATAACCCAAAAAGAAAGAAGTTGAACATACCAATTCCATGTATAGACCCTAAAGTATAATCCCCAGACAGATATATATTATCAAATCACAATTTTGATCTAATCATAAATGTGTCTCAATTCATTACCCAGAGGTAGATAAGAATCTTATATGTAAGATTGTTATGAAAACCATAGAGACATGAAAAATGCAACCAGTGGTAGGGGTAGTATTTGAGAAGTATGGTTTTATGGAATGGGGATGGAGAACTAAAACCATTACAGTTCCATTTGGATGTAGCATGTGGAGGAGCAAAATGAAGGGGTGGGAGGACTTCAATGGTCATATCTTCTTTAGGGTTGGGGATGGGAGAAGAATTAGCTTTTGGAATCACAAGTGGTTCGGGGAAGACACCTTGAGGATTTCATTCCCTAATTTGTAGAGTGTTTCGAACGACAAGGAATTGACAGTCCATTAGATTCAGGGAGTGTGACGAGAAGTACTTTGGGATATGACGTTTAGCTAAGTTGCTCGGACACGGGTGCGGGTATCCGACACATCGGATCCGTCGAGATGTAAATTCTAAGATACAGGGATACGGATCCTAGTATGGATACGGGTGCGGGGATCCGGCTAAAAATAATTCAACAACAACCCAGTATAATCTCACTGGTGGGGTCTGGGGAGGGTAGTGTGTACGCAGATCTTACCCCTACCCTGGGGTAGAGAGGCTGTTTCCGATAGACCCTCGGCTCCTTCCCTCTAAGAACTCCCCACCTTGCTCTTGGGGTGGCTCGAACTCACAACCTATTGGTTGGAAGTGGAGGGTGCTTACCACTAAAGCAACCCACTCTTGTCTAAAAATAATTCAAAAAACTAAAAATATAGAAGTATCTCTAAATTATGAGAAATTTTGTGGAACACTTATGTATATTTTGTAAGTGTAGATTTCTTTTTTATTCTCAAGTTGTAAATAAATATAGGATTGATTTCCTAGATAAAGTACACTATTTTCTACAAATTTACCCTAGTTTTGGTTCTGACTTCGGGAATCAAATTGTATCTCGTCTCGAATTTTTCCGTCTGTCGTGGTCAAAGTACCCAAAATTGTTTGACCAAATCCGGTACGGATCCCATACCCACACCCACACTAGTGTCAAGTCGGCACGGGTGCGGCACCTAAACTGCCATGTCAGAGCAGCTTAAATGTTTAGGAGAAATCTGCAAGACTGGGAGTTGGGAGAGTTTCAAAGGTTAGTGGAGCTACTTTACAAGCAAATCAGACCTCACTTTAATAATGACTCGTGGAGATGAGCGCTAAAAAGTGATGGTTTGTTCACAGTCAAATCTCTCTACCAGAGTTTGTTGGTGAGAGAGGAGACACACTTTCAACGTTTATCGATATGGATTCCTAGGGCGCCTAGAAAGGTGTGTGTTTTTGCATGGGCGAGAGGAACGATTCTGCGAGCTGAGAATCTGAGGAAGAGAAACATTACTTATGTCAGTAGGTGCTACATGTGCAAATGTTCGGGTGAAGAAGTTGATCATCTATTGGTGCATTATAGAGTGGCATCGGGTTTGTGGAGGGTGGTCCTGAATTACTTTGGTGTACAATGGGTGATAGATGTGTTGCACAGCTGGGCTGGTAGACATAGTAGAAGGCGATAAAAGGCATGGAAGGTTGCTCTGTTAGCTGTTATGTGGGTCGTATGGAGAGAGAAATAGGAGAGCTTTTGAGGGGATTGAAAATGATTTTGTATACTTGAGGAATAGCCTTTTGTCTTTGATTGCTTTTGGTGCACCCTTGAAATTCCTACTTGTTTAGATGATTGGGTGTGTTTCGTAGAGAATCATGTTATGTTGTAGATTTTCTACTTTTTGGTATACCTCTTGTATACGGGAGCATTTCCCATTTTGTTAATAATACCATTTACCTTATCAAAAAAAATGCAACCAGTGGTGGGATAAGTTATGCTGCCCTCTGTAAGTGTGAAAGAGCCTATACTCTTATTTAATTTCCTTCCTTTCAATTTTGTCATACCAAGTCCATTTAGTTCTTAAAACAGCTTGCCAATCCTTCTCATTTTGTAGAATCCTTCATCAGCAGTAGTGAATAGCTGATTATTCCATATTGTCCACATCCACCCAGTGGCAGAGAGTCAAGGAGATTGATAAAATAAAAAATCTAGTCCTATTTACGTCTCATATTTTTATTCTCTTACAATAACATTGTTCAGAATGGCATATACTGAACACTTGCAAAAGCACCTGGCTGGTAGATTGATGNAAGCACCTGGATGGTAGATTGATGGATAAAATACTTCTTAGACTCAGAAAATGATCTACTCAGCACAGGGCATACCTGTACAAGCTGGTTGTATATCGCATCATGACAAAACAAGGTCTGGACTTGAGAATTGAAGCCTTCTATCTCAGTTTCTTCCAGCTCATCCTCAAGGTTCATAGCTAAAACACGTGTCTCGCTAATGAAGCTAACAACCAAGAATGTGTCATACGGATCATCAGTAGCTGATCTAAGAGACCACATTCCTTTGATCCCTTGTAGTTCCACAGATGCCTGTAAGTAGCATCGCATATAGATCAAGTTATTGTAGCAATAGGAATACACACAAAAATTTCACTCAAAAATACTTTAGATGACACGACCTGTTCATTTATTCCAATTCCATTTCGAACAATACGAAGTGAGCCATCCTTATAGGCTCCAGAGCAAGTCACGACCTGACCTTGACCTTGCCTCTCCAGGTCAACAACACAGAAGTCCACAATTGGCCCCAAATTGACATATCTCTCTAGAACTTCCACATAAGAACCTTTGGGGTCGGGCTGGAGATTGAGCTTTACGAGCTGAACGTGAATTCAAAAATATTAGTGGAACTGCCGAAAATGAAACATGTAATGTGAAGCACCAAAGGAAATAGGCAACCGAAATTTAAAACCTCAAAGTTCCAATGAATCAAAAGCTACTATACGGAGATTTACAATAAGGGGCTGTAGAAACCAACTTACTGCACCAATATGCACTCATATAAGTAACCTGAGACTCATAACACTTCAATTAAATATTGCAATGCGAATACAGCAACAGATAAAATTCCTATAAGTCAGATCGAGTTATGAAATCATCAACCAATATTTATTACAACTATTCTGACATCTTAGCAAAGAACCTCCTTCAACTCTATGGTGTTAATTAAACATAAAACTACATCCAGATCGAGATAAATCTATTTCGTTTAGTAAATGTAACACTACAACTTTCACATTACAATTTTTAAAGGTTAATTGTGAGCAAAATGCTTCATCTAAAGTCGAGCAATTTGAAACCTATGGCAAGTTAATTTTTTGAATACCCTCTATCTAATGAAATGAATTTAACATTTGTATTACAGTTTAAAAGTAGATTCTATTAGTAAAATCTATAAGCCAATTGCTAGTCAAGTAGGTCATATTTAACCTCAGATTAATGGTATACCGTCATACATGCAAACTTAGCAGAAAATAAAGCATGGTGGAAGGAATATATTTCATAAAAAAAAAAAAAAAAAATGCAATCTTTAAAATTCATGCAGGCTTAGTGAAAGATTGAGCACAATGGAAGAAAAATGTCAACACACCCAATATCAACTAGTCAGGATTAAGACTTATTGTTTGTACAGTCGCATTTGTCCAATATTTGCTAGGATCAGTTATTATCATGTAAGGGGAGTTCTAGGCTAGTAGAAATGTAGAAGGCTTCTAGGGTTAAAAGGACCTAATTCAGTTAACATTGGAACGCGAGGCGTATAAATGGAGCAAATTGGACAGTGATGATTTAGGTAGCCAACTCCAACTAGCTTGGGATTGAGGCTTAGTTGTTGTATAATGATACATATCTCACTAAGCACAAATTATTATGCAATTCAGATAAAACGTGCATAGCAGTGTTGTCAAAGGCACGCTTAAGCCCTGAAGCGAGGCTCAAAACATGTTGAGCGCTTCGCCTCACTTTGTGGGCGCTTCAGTGTCGCATCAAGGCTCTAAGACATACTTTTACTTGCCAATAAGCGTAATCCTTAAAAAATTGATAATTGATATTTCACTTTATCGTAATCCTTTTTTTTTCAATTTCTTTGTCCATATATTTGTTATTCATGCTTATAATTATTGTTCTTAGACTACATATGCATATTTTTACTTTTTCTCCAGTTGTGCCTTTTTTCATTAAAGCCCATGCTTTATTTGCGCAAGGACCTTAGAGCTTTTTTGCGCTTTTCGCCTTTTATAACACTGGTGCATAGCAAAAGGTACATATTCCTTTTCAATCCACAAGATGAAACAAGCAATGGCACGTAGGTATAAAATTTCACATTAGTTTAAACTTTAATTCAACAGTTTAAAAGTACCTGTGAATCTCCATAGCTTGACCCAATGAAGACAAAAGCATTGTCTAGGTATGATATGGTTGATGCAATAGAAGTTTCTCCCAGTAGCTCAATTTTGAGTCCGGTAACTCTGGGAAGTAATATTAAATCTGCGTTAAAAATTTTATTCCCAGCAACTAGGCAAAGGTACAAGACAGCATTTTGGTCCCAGCAATTCAGCAAAAGAATAAAAGACAGTCCAAAAAATGCTGACTCACTTTTCCTTTTCATGAGTGATTACAAGTAGGTGAAGAAGCCCATTATGATCCCCAAGCAAATATCGAGAACCATCAGCATCAACCCGCCCATATGCTCTTGTGATAGACTTGAAAGGATAAATAAAGCATTGGTGAGACAATATCTCATTCATATATTTAATTAACAGCTTCTGTGATAACGACTAGGTAAAACCTTTTAAAGGGTTTATTCGGTCAAAAAGGCTGGGGGTGGTTGTACACAAAACAAAGAAAATTAGTAAGTTATACATATGCTTACAGGTCTAATTGGGATAGCCTTAAAAGCTGAAGCGCTACAGTAAACTATGGTTTCTTCTCCAATAATCAGTACACCACACAGTGGCGGAGGTACTGGTATTAGCAAAGAAGCTCCATTATCGAGATTATTTTGAGCCCATGGCCCTTCAATAAAATCTTTATCCTTCAACGACACCTCATATGTTTTGACATGTCGTGCGTCCTTGTTATCCTGCCAATCAAACGTAAAGGTTCAGGACTAGAATCAGAATGAAGTAATTTAAACACAGAGAGAAGACACCACCATGGCAGTTGTGCAAATTTGGTGGTTCAAACTCCCTCCCCCTCCATATCTTGGTTTTTAAAAAAGAAAGTGCACGACGTCATTCTATAACCAAGTGCTAACAACAAATCTACGACTTAAGGGGCCAATCAAATTCCCATGATGAAATGAGCAAAAGATTTTACCATAATTACAAAATGAAAATGGTAAATTAAGCATTATGGCTCTACATCATTTTTAAAACCACAGACCTGATATAGAACAACAATTGTAGGCTTTGGGCAACCATACAAGAATTTAATATCCAAAACTTGAAGCTCCTCAAGCCTGGAAAAACCACAAAATAATGAACTATCAATCAAAGAAGAATAGCTCCCATGAGTAACAACTTGATATCCCTGGTGAAACGGTCAGACCTACTATTCAGCAATCCTCCTACATAAAGTGTATGATACAATTCTTAGGAGCATAATTCAGATAAATGATCACTACCAAAAGACATGTTGGTAGGTTGATACACTAAATGAGGTCACACCAGGTGTATTTACAGCTTTGCCAAGACCAAGCACAGTAAATGATACAATAGAGAAAGAACTTCAGTTTCTTAGTTAGGAAAACTTAAAGAAAGAGAACTCAAAGTGCAGCATTAAATATTCAAAAATGAAAGCAGCAGTCCAGAAATCCTTGAAACTTTACATCTACAGCTTCAATTTAAATAAGGTTACAGGAAACAAACACAAAAAGGTGAAACAAATGAATTTTGGAATGCCATCACAAAGGAAGATTGCTATGAATTGATCTGCTAAAGGACAACAAACAATTTCCCTTTCCTTTCCCCTCCCCCTATATATTAAAAATAATTTAACAAAAAGGATAACAAGCAATTGGCTTCTACAAGTTCACTTCCTGAAGTCATGACCTGGATCTTTTTTATAACTAAGGTACTTGCTAGCTCCCACCAGCGCAAAGTACCAGGCTACGACACGATAACCCTGCCGAACAAGGCTAAGGCAGATAGGAAGATATCTCCTATTTTTTGTCTCTTCTAGAATTTGAATCCTCGTCTCCTATGGCTTTACCACTCATTGACCGCTTGGCCACACCCTTGAGTGTGGTCCTTACTTGGATTGTTGATTTTAAGAATGATGTCACTATTCTTCTTTTTCTTTGTTTGCTCCTACAGATACAGCATCCATGCACCCTCATATCAATCCCACATGCCTCATCCATTATAATTTAATGACAGAAAGGAGCATTTAGCAATTAGGCAGGTGGATATGAGTAGGTAAAATGGTTCGGCTCAAGAAAAGTAAACTGCCTCAAGGGCTAGAGAGTATTTAGCAAAAGTAGAGGACGTTACTTAATTTAAGGAGAAAATTGTAGATAAGTTAGCTTCACAATCTTGTAAAGGTAGATCTGAGGATACCTGATGTTAAAGGCTTCCTTCAGTTGGCCTTTGTTATCAAATGGAATAACCTGTTGACAGTGAAGTCCAAGTGAATCTTTTGCAAACATAAAGATACCACCACAGAAGCTAATCCAGCAAACATTACACGTCTTGTAATGACAATACCTTAAATAGTCCATCATAAAGATGCAACCCGATCAATCTGCAGTCTGGGTCGATTATACCAATCTACCAAAAGAAAGAAATAGGGTAAACGGCAAATATAAAATAGGGTATTGACTCATTGACCAAATGAGAAATCAAAAGATATATAATACCAGTTTGCTCCTCTAAATTATAATAATATTTAAGGGCATTTCGAAATATAATACCTGACCGTTATCTGTGGGACGGCCTATTCGATCTGAGACATCTCCCATTGCTCTACATAAAGAACACCAAAAGAAGGGAAGTCTTTGAATTTGAGAAACAAAATATATCCACTCACTAGAAAAGATATGGAGCGCACCACTGCGAGTACAACAACATACCCAGTGTATTCTTACAGGTGGGGTCTGGGAAGGGTAGTGTGTACGCAGACCTTACCCCTACCTTGTGAAGGTAGAGACATATTCTTTGAAATAAAAATTAGATAAACATACTGCTGCGACTGCGAGTAATGAAATAAAAATTAAATAAAAGAAAACCTTCAGCAACTAGAAAAACCATAAGGCATATAAAAGCTACACCAACTCCTAATATTAAGTAGCAAGAATGTTTTGTGAATAAACAATGACATTTTCTTGGCTAACTTTTGAAGGAGTTTCCACAGAGACCAAACAAACTGTCAAGGCTTCTATAAAATGGTTATAAAGATGAAGTACACTGCACCATGATTCATGTATGTCAAGAGGACATATTCTTTTTCTTTTTTCTTTTGATAAGTAGGAGGATATAGTTCTATATACACATGCTTTCAATGGGGAGTTGGAAATCTAACTGCAATGGATTGTCAGATTTTATTTTTATGAAAAAACTTTTATATATTTAAATTAGGCATTTTAACCTACCAGGAAGAAACACAGTTTTGCAGACTAACCTTGTGATAACTTCAGATGCCTCAGCATCCCATTGAAGGACACAGAATTTATATCGCTCCGTCGCAATGAAGAGAAGATCTTGTGTTTCACCCTGCCAGGATACCCAGGGAACACAGAAAACTGACATATGGCTAAAAGAAACTTTTTCCTTGTGTCCAATATAATTTTAAGGATAAAAATGAGCTACACAATAAAAAGATGTCAACTCACGTGGGGACGGAAAAGCTCGAGTGTCGCGATTCTCCCATATATTGGCACATCTAACATAGGCTGCAGACAAATACACTAAACTGAGCTCATATTTTGCAATATTCTAGAACCAATGACACATCACGTTTATAGACAAAAAATATGATCTAATCAAAGCTTGGGACAGAAATAAGAGTCACTAATTCTTACATTTACCAGAAAAAAGAAAAGAAATATAAAACGGTCAGCAAAAACACAGGTGAACTAAAGAGTGCGAAAAGAAAAAGGAGAGAAAAAAATCTTATAATACAAAAGGCTCTTTATATAGGACTATAGGCTACTAGAAATAAGGATTAAATAAATAGATTATCTAAATACCAAGTTTCCTAGTATGACACAATAAAAACTAATATAAAATCTAGACCATGGTACTATAGTAGCATTAATCGATGTGATTCTTTGAGTTAACAAAGAATCATCTGACCAATATCAAGATCTTGAAGCGGAAACAATGATTAGACGGCCTGATTTCAAGACATGAACATATCTGGAGCTGTAGAACTCAATAATCAAGTGATTCAATAACAAGGTGAAAAATGAGATTCTGCATTACCAAATTTACTTAATCAAAACAAGAAAATACCAACCTCAAAACAACTTAAAATGCGATCCGGTTCTGAATGTTAAAATGGGCAAATTTACAAATGGGATGGATATTATTTGAAGAATCTTAACATAGAAGTTCCAAATGTCACCACTTATATCAATTAACATGATAATAAAGAGGCACCACATGCAATTGAGAATAAAGATAAAAACTATCACCACCTTACTTGGAACAAAGGCGAGGATAAAGAAATAAAGTAAATTGCAAATGGTGGTTGTAGCAAAATATATGAACTATGAATATACATGGCATGAGAACCATTTATATAGGTCTAAGTTCTCTTGTTTGACGATCACCATTCATGTTCTAAAATGAAAGTAAAATCTTTGTTCTACTGGAAAAATATAATTAAAGTAAAAACCTACCAAGAAAAGGAAACAAGAAATCCCTTCCAGGAAAACAACAAACCAACTTATTAAGGAAACAAGAAACTAGAAGTTCTATGTTTGGAAGGAAACTAGATGTTATATTCTCAGAAGGAATCTACAAGCTTGAGCTTCTTGGGCCTCTTGGGCTCCTTGAAAGCAAGTCCACATGTTTGAACTTGGGTTATAATTTTGGTCTAGGTCAAGTTTGTTTTTCTTATCAAAAATAAACTTGACCAAGACCAAAATTCATAAAACTCATCCTCGAGTATAAAAGCTCCACAAATGGCACAAGATTAGCGACACTCATGATTGAAGACACCCAATTCACCGGGCTCAAAGTTGCATTTCTCTAACTTCTTATAGAGCTTCTTCACGACGAAAGTAATTTTAGCATGTGGTCGAACTACAACTCACTTTTACAGTTGTAACTAATTTTCTCCGAGGAATTATCCTAAAGTGACTATCAAACTTCAAGCCAATCTAAAGTTATCTCTATTGGAACCTTATGAAGCTTAACCATCTCCATGTTCAGCTATAACCTGAGGAGCATACATGAAAAACCTTTAAATTAAGCATGGATCAAGGAATATCTTCTTGAGAATAAATCAACAACAATATTTGTAGTCACATATTCAAAACATATTGCAGCCACTGGTTGTAATATTGTAGAGAGTTCTCTTGTCCACACATTCTTGCCAAGATCCATTCTCTTAAGGCACTAAACAGTTTGAAACTAAATAGAGGCTCAAACTCTCCAATGTTGGCTCCTCCTGAGGATACTCTACCTCTTGTCCTTGCAACTCTTCATTGACATTCGGAATTACGTAGCTTGCTACCTTGTAAAAATGCAGTCAAGAATCAATCAATATTATGTAGAATCTCATGCATGGGTGGATGCTCATGTGCACCCACTTAGAAAATCACATCATCAAACCTTAGGTAACTTCTCAACTTGTGGATTTAACACATGCTCCTTTTTTTGCATTTCCATAGCCACGTCAATGTTCCAAAGGTTCTTTGTTGATAGGGCCAATTATTTGCGATTTGGTCATTAAGAAATCATGCGTAAATTGGCTCAAGTTGGTAAGTTTTTCTGCATGCAATAATGTCAAAACTAATATTTTTCGTAAATAAATACTCCCTCCATTCTAATTTATATGACACACTTTCTTTATTAGTCTGTTCCAAAAGAACCATGCATTTCTACATTTGAAATCAATTTAACTTTAAACTTTTTATTTTACCCACTTTACCCTTAAGGAGAAACTTCTATAACCATACAAATGTCAGGGCACCACAAAGCTTTTACCCCTTAAGCTTTTTTTTTTTATAAGGTAAATTGTATTAATCAAAAGGGAGAGAACTCCCGTGTACACGAAGTATACCAAAGACGTAGAGAATTTACATCAGAACATGATTCTCTACAAAAGACGCCCAATCTTCTATACAAGTAGGGGCTAAATGAGTGCACCAAAAAGCGATCAAAGATAAAAGACTATTCTTAAGATGTGAAAAAGGAGACTCAATCTCCTCAAAAGCTCTCCTATTTCTCTCCCCCCATACTACCCACATAGAGCTAACGGGGCGAATTTTCACGCCTTTTGCTTTCTTCTTCTACGAAAACCGCCCCAGCTATATAACATTTCCTTTACAGTGCTTGGCATCACCCATTGAACACCAAAAAGATTCAGGATTGACCTCCACAATGCAGAGGACACAGGGCAATGCAACATAAGGTGATCAACTTCTTCCCCAGAGCTTTTACACATGTAGCACCAACTAACAAGTGTAATTCCCCTCTTTCGAAGATTTTCAGCAGTCAAGATCACTCCCCTTGCCGCTAGCCATGCAAAAAAGCACACCTTCGTGGGCGCCCTAGGAATCCAGATCAAGGAGTATGGACAAGTGGTCTCCTCTCTCACCAACATACTCTGGTAAAAGGACTTTACAGTGAACAAATCATCGCCACGCAAGCCCCATCTCTAATAGTCGCAGGATGGCTAGAGCATGTCTTGCCCGTATAGTAGTGCCAACAAGACTTGAAGCTCCGCAATCTCCCAATCTTGCATGTTCCTCCTGAATGAGAGG